CCCCCGCAGAGGCCCGGCGGTCCTTCTGCCGGGACCCCCTGGGGCGGAGCTGGCGCTTGGCCCCTGCTCGGGACTCCTTCCAGCGCTTTGGCTCTGATCCGGCCAGGACACGCAGAGCTGCGTTGCTGAGCGTGAGGCGCTGCGTTTGATGAGGAATTTCTGGAGGGCCTCTTTGTTGTGTGCACAGTGATGTTTGTGTAAGATGCAAAATGAAATGTGTGGATGTATTTTTAGCTAGTAATGATGGAGGGATGAGATGCAGATGCTCTGTTGAGAGGGACGTAAAACTTAGATATCTGGGGTGATGTAAGAAACCCAAAAGGTGTGACTCAGTTCTTCAGTGCAGTGCCTTTCAGTGCCTTTGGGAACAAGCACAGGAACAACAGCCTGTCTCGTCTGTTAGTTAATGTTCTGGAATTTGGAAAGAAGCCTATCTTCAGACAACACGTTATAAATTAGGTTTTACTTTCCTGTACTTGGTGTAATTATTGAATCGTAGTTCACTTTGTGGAGGATGGCATGTGGGTGGAGAGGTGCTACGTGTCCTCTTGATGTACCAAAGTCGCGCGCACACCAGCTGCTTCTCTGGAATGTATGTGCGGTCTCTGTGGTGTTGACCTAACTTGCTGCCAGTTTTTCTCGTGGCTGTGCTAACAACGGCAAACTCTGCAGCATGCAGTGTTGTGCTCTGCTGTAAACCCGTGTGTCATAAAGGAAGGGTAGACTTGGAGTGGAGTCTGTGTGAAAGCAGAGAAGGAAGCGACCATCTTTGAACTGTCAAAAGCTGCTTAATTTCTTCCGCCGCCTTTCAAAAATTACTCAAGGAGTTTAGTTAATTTCGCAGAATACATTCAAATCATGTAAATTGTTACCCTCTAGCGTGACTTCTATACCGCAACACAGGCAATGTTTTCTTTTTAATTCTTCTTTAGTACGTGCTTGTATTGGCTTTCATGGCAAGGTTTTGGTAGTAGGAGGGCTGCAGAGGTGGCTTCTGTGAGAAGACACCAGAGGCTGCCCCACATTGGCCAGAGCCTGTTCCAGCCAGCTCCAAGACAGACCCACCGCTGGCCAGAGCTGAGCCCATCGGCGATGTTGGTAGTGCCTCTGTGATAACATATTTAAGAAGGGGTAAAAACTGCTGCGCAACAGCAGCCGAGAGGAAGGAGTGAGAATATGTGAGAGAAACAGCCCTGCAGACACCAAGGTCAGTGAAGAAGGCGGGGGAGGAGGCGCTCCAGGCGCCGGAGCAGAGATTCCTTTGCAGCCTGTGGTAAAGCCTGTCTGCTTGAAGCCTGTGGAGGTCCATGGTGGAGCAGGTGGATGTGTCCTGGAGGAAGCTGCAGCCTGTGGAGAGCCCTTGCTGGAGCAGGCTCCTGGCAGGACCTGTGGCCCCATGGAGAGGAGCCCATGCTGGAGCAGTCCATTCCTGAAAGACTGCACCCTGTGAGAAGGACCCACGTTGGAGAGGTTCGTGGAGGACTGTCTCCCATGAGACACATAGAGCAGGGGAGGTGTGTGAGGAGGAAGGAGCAGCAGAGATGAAGTGTTCTGAATTAGCGGCAACCCCCATTGCATATCCCCCTGTGCTGCTTGTGGGGGGGAAGTAGAAGAGTCGGGAGTGAAGTTGAGCCTGGGAAGAAGGAAGAAGGGTGGGGGGAAGGTGTTTTTAGTTTTGTTTTCATTTCTTTCTATCTGACTCTGTTATTTATTGTCAATAAATTGAATTAACCTTCCCTAAGTTGAGTGTTTCGGATGGTAATTGGAGAATGTTCTTCCTGTCCATATCCCAACCCACAAGATTTTCATCTTACTTTCCCCCCCCATCTTGCTGAGGAGGGGGAGTGAGAGAGCGGCTGGGTTGGGTGTCTGGTCACCCCACCACAATGCCAAAATAGACAGAACAGTGCATCCATGTAGATATATTCCCTTCTGTGGGTAAAATGATAATGTTCAAAGATGAGGTTTTGAAACAGGCTTGGGAAGATCAGGAGCAGATAATTCAGCAGTTCTCATTTGAAATACAGTAGTCACCTGCTCAATCAGTTATGTGGATGTAATTATTTGCTTAGGCTGAAGACTTGTACTACTAATGAATCCATCGTGGTGGTGGCAAACTAGTAATTTGTTACTTCGATCTAAACCACTTCCTGGCAAAAACGGATTTATTCATTATGCCGTTAACCCTAGCTTCATTGGGGTTAAAAGCTTGGGCAAAGGAATCACCGAGGAAGGCGGGTGGACGAGGCTGGTTAAAGTTGTTGAATCTCTGGTAAATAGTGAAGTTGAAGAGCTAGATTTAGAAATGATTGCTGTATTGAGCAAGAAGATATGCTGGTGCCAAGCTGTCTGTGGCTGCCCTTTCCTTTGGGATCCTTGCCCGCAGACTTTGGTTGTGCGTGGTGGCTGTGGTTTGATACATGAGCTGGGGGTGATGGTAGGCAGGACAAGCTGGCAACTGAGTCTCATTTGCAACATGGCATTCTTGTGAGAGGACGACGGCAGTGACAGAGATTGCCGTTGTACCATGAACCTCAAGGGAGGTTTTCTGAACTGATAGTGTCAGTTCAGATCAATCCTTGTAGATGGCAGTTTGTCTTCTTGTGCCCTCACATGGCTGTATTGCCAGTTCTGCCTAGCAGCATTCTCTGCCTTTCCCTTTGTAAATAAATCGCATTGTGATACTGCCCAAACAGCTTTCTTCAGGTGTTTCACTGCGCAATGCCTAAAAACCTGTTACAGCAGTTTTCTCTTACCTAGATATAGTTTCTTAGCTTCATAAGATCAAGATTAGAATCCATGATCTTGTTTTCCTGTTTCTTATTGATGCCTGTAAAACACTGTATTTTTGTAAGTTGAGCAGAAAAGCATATGTCAACTCTTTTGAGAGAGACTGATGCCTGTGAAAGCAATGGAGCTGACCTTGAATTATCCAGGAATTATAAGGAAACAGTGTTCAGCCTGTTCAGAATACACAGCAGTACAGGTGTGCTAAATAGTGGAATTACAACAGAGAAACAAACCCCCTGGTGACAAGCTGAGACGGCACATCGGAATGCAGGAGTGTGACGTTTCAGCCTCCTCCTGTGCCTTCCTCTGAGCTATCGCACTGTTGCAGGACCTGGAGACCGAGGGGCGCATCACAGGGCTGGGAGGAGGTGAGTGGAAGCGCGAGGAAGTGGGAGGATGGCTGTCACAGGTAGTGTCCATTTCTGCAGATGACCGTCTTGGGAAAAATCCAGCCATTTTAAGGCTTTTTTTGTTGCTCCTTTCAAAGATGCTCTTTGCAGCTGGCAGGCTGTGCTGTTACTGTTTATTAATGAGCTGGTGTTGCGATAGGTTGGACTCTCTATTTGCAGTACCTTTCAGATGATGAG